TTTGTTTACCAAACAGTTATTTCAATAATTATTTTAAAAGATTAACTATTTTGTTCTTCCTGATTATTTAAAAAAAGTACTGAACCACTTTCAATCATGACCTTCTGAAAGTATTGGTTAGAGCCATTTGCTATCAGAAACCTTCATTAAAGTAAGTGATTGGAGGATATTTTCTACTGAAAAAGTATTAAATCAATACATTCATCACTTCACTTAGAATCTTAAACTTATTATTTTTCATATGATTATATTAATCATATATTTCGCATTTTGTTAATCAATTGTGTTATTACTTTCTCTATATTAGACCAAATAAATAAAATTGGTATCAACTTCTTCTACAATCTATATTGATGCTATTTTCATTAACAATTTCACCCGAGTTAAAGCATTTAACTTGGGCTTTAATTAAAAAATGTATGCTTTACATTTTACCATTCTGTTTTTTTTTTTTTTTGTTGTTGTTTGTTTGTATAATGGTTGAATTGAAATAAATTTTTTTAGCATTTCTTTAAAAAATATGTATAAAATATAACGTTATCGATACGAATATTACAACACTTCCAACATTACATTAAAAGATGCCAGATGATATTGGTAAATTTTCAAAATACTAAGTACTTTAATTCTGACTTCCAATTAATTTTTGATTTAAATATATATATTTCTTGAAACCATAAATATAGAGGAAGTATGAATACTGTTTCATTTATATACCTTAACATTAACAAAAATTATTTAAAATTTAATAAACTGATATTTCATAGCGAATGATAAAAGCACCGAGATTTTCCATGCGTATAAAGTACTTGGAAAAAGAATTGCACGTTTGTTGAATGATCTTTGGATTGAGTGAATGACGCCGTAAAAAATAACGAGCATCAAAATAATATTTCACCGGATGAATCGCATTATATAATAGCACCGATTTTATGAAAATACGAAAAAATAAAAACTCTGTGGTGAATCTTGACTCTTTGGATACTTTATATTATTCGCATCCCCTTCTCATTTATTTGTACCTCTTTTTTTTTTTTGTATACTCTGACCTATAATTTATTTTTTCATACAAGTTATAGCATTTTGCCAGATGATCAAATATAACGAGCTGTCTACTTTTGTGTTCAATTTCGCTAATTAAAATTCAATTAATATCAACTTTTCTCTATGATTTATTATCAACAATTATAAAAATGTATTTTAAATTTAAATTGAAAATTAAATACGTTTATACATAAACCAAATAAGTTTTATATTTATATAATATGCATAACATAAGTATATTTGGGAATAAAATATAGCACATAAACTACATTTATTTTAAAAACTAATATCATGTTTAACCTAATTTAAAACTATATTAAATTAATTTATATTTGAATACTAACTAAAAATAAATTTTTAATAACACAATTAATGTTTATTTTGTGTTTAAAAATCATTAAAGCTTTTTATCGCTTCCATTATTTCTCTACAAACTCTCCTATCGTCGGCATCTTTAATTCTTGTCATTCATAGGATTTTCAAATCAATTAACTCTTTTAAACTAACGCTGATGGACTCTGCCTTTTGGTTTTTTCCCGTTGGATTTGTTGATTAAGATCTTATGTATTAGTTTGTTATTTTCCCAATCTCCGCAATATATGGCTTACTCATTCTCTAGCCTTATTTTAGCTTTGAGATATTTTTGTATATTTGGTCTGTTGAAAATTCTTTTAATTTATTTATTTTTTCTTCTTTTGTGAACTCCTGCTTCTAGATTTAGTATGGTTTCATGTATTTTCTTTAAAATTTTTCTTTTAAATATCAAGAGTTTTTGTTCATCACCTTTCGTTATTATCTAAGTCTCATATGCATACAAAACAATAGAGCGTAGGTAGACTAAATAGTATGTGTATACATACATCTTCGTTTTGGTTTCTCTTGAAAGTAGCTTCAATGAAAGTATACTTCTCATTGTATTATATCTTTTATTTGCTAAAACGAGTTTCAGCCTTATTTCGTTATGTATTTTATGTTTTTGGTTTATATTAATCCCTAAATATTTGAAATTTTCAACCTGTTTGAATAAGTAATACCCCACTCCGAAGTTTTACATTACTGTCGGTATTTTCATAATAAATGTGTATTTTTTTTTTCTCCATTTATTATGAGTCTCATTTTTTTTTTTTTTACTATTTTTTAATAATTCAGTCCTTTTTCATATCAAATCTGTTTTAGATTCTTCAAAGATGATAATTTTGCAGTCAATAACGTATTGTTCTCGGTTATATCCTTAATAACTCATTTTAAGGTCAAGTTATAAGTGTGAAAGACAACGCATCCCCTTGCCTTAAGACCCTTTTAACCTCAAAACGACTTGATGTTGGTTGCCAAAGTTAAATCTTCTATAGCAAGCTATATCTTTGTTAGCAACTGTTAATTTTACAAACTTTAAAATATAATTATAATTAATAGCAATAATAACATATGAATAATATGATGAAACTGAAGGTTATATTTAAACAAAAAATCAGAGGCACCGAACTCATATGTCATGTGAACCAAACGTTCCACTTCTTAAATGAGTGGGTGGGTTGTGGGTTTATAATCCTTGTGTAATTGTGAAAAAACTTAAATAAAAATAATCTTAAAATAAAAAATTGTATTTATTTTTATATCATATTAGATGATTGAAAAGTTTTTAGATTTTGCTTCACAAAAAAAGTCTGATCTCGGTGCCATCACTAAAAATAATTCTTTTAAATTTGTTACAGCGATTACTGATTAATATATAAACCTAACCAATGTATTTGACTTATGTAACTGACATAATAAAATTTAACTGTGAGCACATAACTATGCCTTTGATACCTACATAAAAGCATATTTTATAAAGAATTGTTAGTTTTTATTACATGTTTTATAAATTTTTATTATTTTAAATTATTTATAAAAAACACCTATTTTTTTGAATAAACTAGCAATTATATTTAAATATATAAATCAAAATATAGCACTAAAAAGTTAGACATTTTGGAATTTCTTGATATGTATTAAATTTATTACAATATTTTTAAAATTTTAAACATAATTTGTGAAAACAAACTATGAATTCCCTTACACGTGTTTACAGTCGGGCTATAGTGTAATCGAATAAATAAGTTATAGACTGTCTACCTGCAGATGAACACATAATATTTTAATTTTTTTACAAAAAAATTAATTTATTGTGATTAAATTTGATATTTATAGTCATCGATAAAATCGTTTTAGTGTTATTTTATGATAAACATAATTTCATGTTTATTATACTATAATTTTTGACTACATTCACTTAACTACCTTCATTACTATAAATGATCTAATTTCGTCAAAATTTACGACAACGGATCACAACTGTTACAATTGCCTATATATTATAAACGATTATAGAGCAGGCATTTACTGCAGAGTGATTGACTAAACATATTTAGCCCCACTTTTTCTTGATAATGAATTTATTCAAATTTTGATTTTTTTGATTTTTAAAATGGCTTACTTAAAGACCATATTTTCTAATATTTTTAACCTATTTAAGAAAACTGTGGCATAATAACTTTTTTTTTCAAATCACCCTTATTTTAATAATATCTATCCTTTTTTTCTACAAGAATAATGGATCAAATAAATTCTTTTATCCAATTAAATTGAAATTTTTAATTGGTAGTTTTTTGAGTTACTTAGCTTTGTGTAAGAACGAATAATAATAGATCCACTTTAATGCAGTTGGAAGATATAAGGACTATGCGATGAATTAAAACTTTAAGTAAGCAATTTATATTGGTTCATCAACATTTATAATTAAAATTTATTTTATATTTTATTGTTTTAGATCCGTTTTTAAGGACTTTTATATCTATCATATACGTTTTAATAATTTAGAAACTTCCAGATTTGATTTAGATACTTACATCAAAATTAAAAAAAAAAAAATCATCAGCCCAACAATTTATTGTAAAGAAGTTTAAGGTTCTCGTTTGAAAAAAAATCTCCAAATATACTTTCTAAATGGTACGTATAAACACTTTGTAAAATTAAAAATATGGTCTTTGAGTAAAATTCAAAATTTAAAAACTCAATATTAAAAAAAATAGAAGTGAACCATGCTTCTTAAACCAATTTGTATACTTTGTAAAAACACTATTATAGTGTACACCTATTACCTACTAATAACTAATAAGTGTTGGTTTAAGCAACCTACCGCACTTATTATGATATATTTTATGTTGCCATCGTACTATACCCACTAATAATTATTAGTTTTTAGTTTAGAGGTTATAACATATTATAACAAAATATTCGCTGTGAAAAATTAAAATATCATCATGCCCTATTTATTAAGTTGAAATATCACACTATCGAGGCCAATCGCGTTAATATATAGTAAAAATAAATTTTTAAAAAATACAGTAAATGCATTAATATAGAGTTAATAATAATCGTTCACGGTAATGCTATGTATAACTCCCAATACTCTTAGCAATAACACAACTTTTTGTTCATACGAACAAATTGAGAAAACTGAGATTGACCGTGATAATAATATGATACTTTTATTACTTTTAAGCGACGATATTATTATTATAATAAACACCGCAGCGCGTATTTGCATTTTTAACGGGGCGGCGGTCCGACAGAGGGCCGGGCTCCGGAAAACGCGGACCGGCCAACCGCAGGCGCGCGTAAACGACTATCACCCCCCCCCCCCCCCACGTGACGGTTCACGGTATACCACTTGACGGCGTGATGAGAGGGTGGTCCGCCGGTCGTTGCACAAATTATGCTTCATGGCGTAATAATACGCACGCACACGCGCACAACATATCGACGTGAGCGTATATATATACATATAACATAATATTATATTGTAATATAAACATGAGCGGGAAAAATACTCGTCCGGCGACGGCGAAAAACGTCGGTTTTTCCATGTATGTACGTACACATTTATCACGTCGATGCGTGTGTACGTACGCGAACCGCGTAATGTGTCACCCCCAATAGGCTCCTCCTGACGACTCCACGCTAAGAACGTGTTTAATCAACCTCGCGCGAGCGCTCTCCGCCACGCCACCAACAGCTTTTCGACGAACGTTTCCAAGGACGCTGCAGTCGACGACGACCCACAGTACATACCAGTATATATTATATAATTGCACGCAGTAGTACTATTACTCATGCCCTTAAAAATCACATAATATTTTACAATATTGCATTATTATCCCGTTTACGGTTATACCTACAGCACGCAATACCGCGGTATAAATCACGTACCTACAACCTGTTATATACCTGATGCAGCACGATCTTTCATCGCGGTACAGCCGTACAACCAGCAATATCGCATAGATTATTTGGTATAATACATATATTTATGATATACGAAACTATAATATCAAAAGTACACCTCAACTTTATATATAATATACTGGTGTAGCAAAACAAATAAAAACACATCATCATGGAGTGTCCAAAACCTTCGTTTCTCATCAGAGATTTGATTGGAGACGTCTTACAAACTTCAAAATCTTCTGGTAAGCTAGTTTTTGTTATTATTCTTCCGCGAGATGCGTATAACATGATAATATATTATATGATGTCGCAGTTAAATTCATATACCTATTCGATGGAGATTTGTAATTTTAAACATTAATTTAAGTTTAATAAAAAAAAAAAAAAACAGAAGCTTTATAGTGATTAAAAAACTATTATATGTATAAGTAGATGACATGAAACCTTAATTTTTTGACTTTTTTATAAAATAGAAAGAAAAATATATAGTCAGAAAATCGTTTTGCTCAGCAGAAAAATATACCTATAAAACTACAAGTACTTATGACCACAGTTATTTCTCTAGTTAGGAAATTTAATCCTTTAGTCTTTACCTTATATTATTAAAGTTTAAAGTGATGCCTAGGGTTAAGATCCTTCGTATACTTAGCAGTTTAACAAATTAATAAAATCAATTCACTTAATAGTATGTATCTAATTAGATATTATATTGTATATTGCACATATTACAATATCTGCAATTAAATAAAATGGATGTTTCTTAACAATAACTGTAAGGTTACTATGATAAAACTATAGTTTAAATATTATTAAGTTAATAGTAGGATGTTACTTTATGTTGGCTTGTCGTTAAAAGGGGTAGCATAACTCCCCATGAATCATAAATATTCAGTACACTAAATACAGCATTTGATAAACTATCATTATTTTATTAAATACACGCTAATATCGCACATAATGTTGATATATAATAAGACTTAAGAGCATACCTAATTCCATAAATAATATTTTCATGAGAGTAATTGCGTATATATCTATCAATTTGAAATATGATTGCAAAATTTGAAATAGTTTTCCAACCAATTATAATACATTTTGACTTTCTACAAAGGTCATAAAAAATTTGTATCCCTTTATTCATAGACCAAAATTGTCCATATTCATGTTTAATCTTAAAAAAAAATATTTAACATATTAGGTATATACAAATATTTTATTTGATATGTATATATTCTAATATTAACATTATTTTTGTATGAAATTTATCTGATATTTGGTAAATAAACGTTTTAAAGTTTATAAAAATAAATCTGTTCATATATTATAGTACCTTTTCTTCAAAATAACCTATTCTTAGTCCTAATAGAATATCATCATTCTCCTACCAACCCTACCCATTCACTGTTAATAATATTTTGGTCTAACACTTAATCAAAAATTAACTTTGATTTACTGTATCAGAACTAAAAGACAAACTTTAAATAATCTCCTACGCGTACTTAGAACTATTATTTTAAATAATAAATACACTTTCATGGAAATCAAATTTCTCAAATATAAAGCTACAAAAAACAATATAGACATAAGGACTCTAGTTGTAGAGTTGTGTAAAAAAGTCAATTATTAATTAAATTCAAACCTACCAAAATATTGTCTTCAGAAAATTAATAAATACCCCTCCCTTCCTGACACGTATTCAAATATACATTACATACGGATTTAAAAATAAAATCAATGAACTATGATGCCAATATCTTATATTAAAAATTGCATAACCATTTACGTTCTTTTATAAATCCTCAATTTGATCTCTGATATAATAATATATTGTCGTCTCCTATGATACTTGAAATATAAGTACCAAGTGATGTCTTGATCATTTACAGACTCGGATAAAATCAGCAAGTTACCGAGTTTAACTCAATAAATCAAACTATATTTTGGAAGATTAAGTATTAAACTTGATTATTATAACAAATCTTAATGGGGTTTAGGCTAGTAAAATTTCTAAAAATCAATGTACTCACCTTACCTGAAAATGATCTTTTATAAGATTTAAATGACAAAATTAAGTTAACATAAATAATACAAAGTATCCATGGATCGCTCAATTCATAAAAAATATTCATCTTGCCATATCATAATTGTTACTTGAAAAAAAGTATTATTTTTCTTCTATAATAGTAATATATTATGTATTATATATTTTTAGTAAACCACAACCAAAATATTATGTTTAAAAGAGTAGGTACATATATAATTATTTTAATATAAAATATATAAATTTATATGAGTATTTAAGTAAAATAAAATAATAACCAATATAAATTTTTAGTGAGTTATCCGATTATAAACAATAATAAATACTATCTATATTTTTTTATTTGAAGAATGATAAACTGAAAAATGTAAAAGTGGACTAGGTCCTCATTTTATACTCGATGTAATCCTGTCAGAAATACAAGTAAATAAACAATAATTATATTATTTCATTATCGTAGCAAAAAGTCGTAGATTTTTTTCCAATGGTGTTTTATTTATCGTATAAGGTCTTTTAAAATGGGTTAATTTTAATATCTAAGTAATAATATTGAATTTATCAAAATTTATTTATTAAAAAATTGTTATTTTGTCATTAATATGTTTTAACATAAAATATTGATAATTTATCATTTAAAATTGTTTATGAATTTTACTATAATTTTATTAATTCATGTATAATGTACGTATATACAAAATATAATTTCTATTAAATAAACAATATTCGAAGTTTATTTAAAACATATTTATATATTCTATATTTTAATAGTATTGTTTAGCAGAATAACTTATGTTAATACTAAATACCAAAATAAAATAAAAATTCATTATTGAAGTAATACGAGTATAATAAAGTTCTCCAATAGCGTTTTTTAATCTTTAATTGTAAGAAATCGTTTTTAATATTTTAAATTTTGTTTTTTCTATTTTAAATGTAATGTTGGATATAAAATTGAAATCAATAATAAATTTTATACTAGAAAAATTGTCTAAAATGTCATTATACATTTTATTTCAAATTTTTTTTCTCTCTTTTTACTTTTCATTATATTTTATACTAATCGCACGATTTTCGTATAAACATTTAAACTATCTATACATTCACACCACTAAAAACTATATCAGATATCTTTAATTTCCCCGTATTTTCTGGCATTTCATATATTTTAATAGATTATAAGAATGGGGTTTTAATTTAATTCACGGTTCTTTTTAAATTTTTACTAATTTTAATGTTAGTTTGTGTTTTATTATTTATTTTTGATAATGTAGCTTGTATTATTGATGTAAATTAGTTTTATTTCAATTAACAACTTTAAATATATATAAATCAAATCGTGTTCTTGGTACTTAAAATACTATATACTTTACTTTAAATAATAAAATAAGCTTTTAATAATTTAAGTGTACTTGAGACTTAACGATAGAATCATAATCTGAATATTTTATTGATTTTTAATATTAAAGTAAAGTAGAACTGTAGAAGTTCGTACTTATAATCATTACATATATTTACTCAAGATAAAGGAATTTTAAATAAGCATTATAAGACTTTATTTAAAAAAAATCACTAATATATATTTCTAGCGTTTCTAGTGTTCTTTTATCTAAAATACTAAACATTTTTTAATTCTCAACAGTTAAAATGTAAAATGGTTCAGGCATTTTTAGTATAAACTTACATAGTTACATATATAATGTATAGTACTTAATTTAAACTTAAATAAATTAAAATAATTAAAGCAGCATCGTAGATTTAATATAAATTAAGAAAATTTGTCAAATATAATTCTAAAAATGATGTACTATGAGTTATTTGGAATTTCTTTTAATATTAATTGATTATAATACATTAATTTATTTCATTTAAATACATAATAAATGTATAAATAATTATTTTTTTCAATTTTAATTCAAGCGATTTAATTAATAAATAAATAAATTATTATTACAGATAAATATAATTAAATTTTTATTACTTTCGTGATTGACTGAATGTTTATTCAAATAATTATAAAAAACTGCTGCAGTATTTAAAAGTTTACAATATGAAGATGTTATATTTAATAAAAAGTTTATCGTTTTATAAAATACGTTAACTCAGAATATAAACAAATGGTCGACAATTATAAATTATAAAAATAATATAAATTACTAGCCGAGTTTATAACTTTATATACTTTTTTTTTTAATTGGGCTCTAAATAAAACGCTTATAGTACTATACAACATACTATACAGTTGTTAAATTAAAATTGTCTGGTGGTCGTGTTAGAGAAAGTCTGATACACACCCGTATGACCCCGTGTAAGTATACGAGTGGTTTTGGAGAATCGGACGTGCTCAAGAGGGTCGCCACATGCGACGGACCATTGAATTATCACGACAGTAATTGCGTCCTTTTATCTGCGAATACCTCATGCTGGGCAGTATGAAAAGACTTAAAACAACTCCCCTCCACGTTTGATTTTGCCATGTTTTTTTTTCTGATTGATAATGATTTGAAATACGTTTCATTAAATAGGACAAGGGTACTACGTATAAATATTCGCAATTATACATAAATAAAAGTTTACCCCAAAAATCATGACAAATACGATAATAGACTTTAACTACTGGTCCCAGATACGCATATAGGGATAGGGTAAATATACGATTGCTAATGTTTTTCTAATCCTATAAAAATACAAATAATTACTAATATGTAGGTTTTAGTGTCGTTGGTCTATATTGTATAATATATACGATGTTTATTATTATATACTAGCTGAATCATAGCATATATTTGTACAAGTTTTGTATAATTTAACAGTCACTATTATTATTATTATATTTTTAAAATGTACCTATACAATTAATAACATGTATTACGACATGATGTTATTATTTACTTCATTGTAAACCATAATCTATAATCATAATAATGTATATTATATATACAATATATGCATAGGTGGTATAAAATATATTACTTCTTACTTATGTACCTATACTTTAAAGATATGTGTGTTTATGTGTATGTGCATATAATATAACATATCATAATTTATTTTTTATTAGAATAAATATTAAATTACTATTATATTTTAACCTAAAACCAATTAATTTAAATTAAATGCGAAATTATAAATATTATATTTAATAATATTTAATGAAAATATTCATAAAATACCGTGTGTGATAAAACTTGTCAATTTTCTTCTTTTCAAATTATTATGTTGTTTTAACAATTTCCATCTTAAGTGCGTTACACTCATTAGTCATTACACTATATTTTTTATATAGTTATTGAATAGTCTTTAAATAGCAGGTATATGTTACATAACTTGTAATGATAAACAAAAATCAATTCTTTTTGTTTTAATCTAATTGCATTCAATGTGGAAAATATATTTTCAGAACAACTGTATGTTAATCAATATCTTGAGAGTATATAGAATAAGTAATTTTTTTAAAGAGAAAAATATACATCTAGAAGTGAACTTGAAATTTAAAAAATTGTATTATTATAAATAATTTCTTTTTTTACAAATATTATTTATTAAATGCTAAATTTAATAATGAAAAAATGTATTTTTATATACCATCCATATATGGTCAACATAGAATCTTACGTAGTAAGGATGATATAGCTGCTGTTAAATAAATTTATAATATCTAAAATAACATTTATACTGAAGTCTACTTAATCTACATGTATAATAATAAACTTTGATTAAGTACAATGATTTTTGTACAATATAATGATAATAGTTGAGTAAATTCATTAAAAATCAAAAATATTTTATCTCTTGTAATAATAATATGTGCCATACAATAATTATTATTCTTAGAAGCCTACAATGTTTTACGTTTCCTCATTAGGCCATCAGATATCAACATTTATCTCTATTTATAATACATATATTGTCAAAAATACCACATTGTAAAAAATTATTTTGTTACCTATTATAAGATATGTCCAGTGACGAAGGCACAGCTGACATGGATGACCGTACACTAACAATTAGTAACTTTTCCGCACTACCGCTGTTGGTGCAAAAACATCACCACCATCACTACCAACAACACCAAGACATGTTGACCGGGAAATCGTGCGGTCGGAAGGTCAGACGTAGAAGGACAGCGTTCACTCATGCTCAACTAGCTTACCTCGAACGCAAGTTTCGTTCCCAGAAGTATTTGTCTGTAGCCGATCGCAGTGACGTGGCCGAAGCGTTGAATTTGTCGGAAACTCAAGTCAAAACGTGGTACCAAAATCGAAGGTTCGTATAAATCAACAGAATATTATTTTGTGTTTGTACTCAGTCTCAATATTATATTGACGCAATTTGTACGTTATATAATTTTTACACACACGACACACGTACCTAAATTAAACAAAGGTAAACTCATTGGTGTCTATACATATGCGGTTTCTCAAATAGAGAGTACATTATCTCATATCCAAAACTTAAAAATATATATTTATAGTTGAAATTAAATAATAATAGGTATTGCAACTTATAAACTATAATACTCGCATATTAATAATTAAATCCCGCTACTTCAAAGAATATTAAAACGCGGCCGCCTACACGACCTCATCAGTTAAAATATCCAAACCACTGTCCATAAATTTATGTTTTTATTTGTTAAGTAAAATAAATTGTGTAAAAAAAAGTTCTTAATCACTAGATTAGGTCAATCACTATATATACTGTAATACTATATTTAAAACTATCGCGTCCAAAAATTGTCACAATTATTTTTCTGTATTATGCATAAACATAGATAGCCATAGGCTAGGAATGTCTAAATTCTTAAAAAAAAATAATAACGTTAATTATAATATAAATAAAATTATTTTTAGGTTTTCCCCTATTTACCTAATTTTTCTGTTATTATTCTACAAATTTAATAAATGTCTGTTTAAAACGAAATACCTAACCCTGTATATCGTATTGGTTTTGTAATTTTAAATTAAATATAGAAGGACGTTGTATATTTCTCATAGTTAGTATACTATAATCCATATCTCTTCAGAATAATCAATTAAATGTAATTAAATGAAGTAATGACTCTTCGTTATGGACAAAAAACTATTGAGGTATTAATTTTTTTTAATTTTTCAATTACGTATGATACAAGAACAAAAGTTAAACCATTAGATATTCTATTTTCAAAATAAAATCTAAATTATTTGTATAATTTTAGAATATTTTGTCATCATAAACATTGACTTAAATGAAAAAAGTAAAAACAGCCTCTCATTAAGCACTGGTAAAAACGTTAGTAAATACATCAAAGAGCCTTGCTCGAAATCAGTAATTTTACTAACCGACCTTAACTTTTTTCCCCATAATCAAAAGTTCTTAGTGAACTTGAGTATCTTAGATATAAGTGTAAAAACTAATGGTAATACCACATTGTATTTAATTGCATATATGGTTATGGATAGAAATTGGATAAATAAATGCGATGATAATTTAAATATGCCATACTGCCATCTATAAACCTGCAAATTGTAATAATTGCTCAAATGCAAAAATATTTAAATTAATTTTTGTCGAAAATATTAATATTCTATTATTGACTATTTGACTATTATCATTACGCCATAAATACAAAGAAGGAATTTTTTTATTTGAGTTTATATTATATGGCTAAAAAATAATTTACTCCGATAACGATCAAGTTGGTTAGAAGTGAATCTTTTAAATAAATGTAAGCTCCCCTAAAAAATGAAATAGTAAATTTCTTAAAAACATTTTGCTATCATATTACATTTACGTTAATTCCCTTAAAATTATTTTACAAAAAATGTTGAAACCATTTAGCGTAATCCAGAGCCCAGAGAACACTATATAGGAGCGGTTTAAGTTATCCTCCAAAAATATATGTATTTTTAATTGAATTTATATTCATATTCATATTTTTTTTTCTCTATTCATATTTTATGCATAGAAAAATTCATCGCATGCTAGTTTTATAAAAATTATTATTATTGATTTCGTCATGTTGATTGTTTTTTTATTGTAACTTAAACATGTGTGTTGGTTATAAGTTTATAAGCGTATTATTTGGTTTTTACACTGATAATGACTTTTTGTGTTAATAACAAAAAATATTTAACAAATATGTTGCTGTAAAGCATTGAAGCCTATATAATATACTATATTGAGTGGGAAAATGTATTACGGGGAAATATGTCAACGGATCGTAAATTTGACTTGGGCAACGTAAACCTTACGCCCTTACCCATCCACTTCACTTTAAATACGTATAATATATACATTAACCGATGTTCTGTAAATAAAATATTAATTCTTATTAATACAGCCAATTCAAACACTTAGATACTCTGTCACATGTAAAGATACTTAGGTACTAAAATCATGAATGTATATGTTGTACCTATAATAATCAAAACGTCAAACACTTCAAAAAGTACTACTATACAGTGATCCAGAACATTTGCACGTTGGCATTCAATTTGTATACAAGTTATATTATATAAGTAAATTATTAAAATTTAAGTATTTCACTTTAATATTAAAATATAACGTATAGTACTTGTATAACAGATACACATAATTTTCATAACTTTAAGTTTGATAAATTATGGTAGTCGGTAGATCCATTCACTCTACTACTAAAGTTAACAACACACAATTGTTCAGCTTAATACAAATTTATTATTCTATTATTATACTGCTCATGGGTCAAAAATGGGACACATACTAGTTGCGGACAAATTATTCAGGTCACTATTATAACATAATAATTGTGGACACAAGTTTCGATATCATAATACTAATTGCGTACATAATTTTTTTTAATAAAAATTACGTGAGTTGCCTTTCACCACTTTTTCAGGGTTCGGGCAAAATTTTTTTAGAAACAGCCTGTATCAATGATACTCGTTACTGATTTCACCACTTGAATATTACATCATTTTTTTTACTGATAAATGCTTCCTTTTTGACAGTTTTTTGTTCGTTTTAAATTTTGTATAGCAGTAAGTGCAATTAATTTTCATATATCAATCTGTACTTCATTTAAGGCGTCGACCAATTGGTATATAATAGAGATACTGCGATAAAACATTCCATTAAGGTTAGCATAAAAACTTTCACAAGCATTTGCGGTTCGTGAAAAAGAAAAAAATTAAGTTTTTCACTATACATTTTTATACAGAAAACAGATGATCAAAAAGATGACAAATATTAAGCAAGCATGAGAAAAGTTGTAGCTAAACTGATCAAACATGTTTTTTGAAAGCTGCCTCAACATCGTCAATATCAAACAGTAATTTCCCAGCGTCCACAATCGTTATACTCGTATCAAAAATAATAATTGGAAATTTATCCGTATTTAGTATCTTATATTTGTGTCCGAAATTCGTATGTATTTGTATGTTACCTTTTTAGATTTCGTTCACAACTCACACGGTTTTTGTAACTTTGTCCGCAATTCGGGAACACCGCAAAAAGGAATACAAAAAAGTACACTATAATATCCTAATATTATTCCACATGGTTCAGGAAAAAATAATCCTGAAAATGTAATTTTAGATATAATACATAATTAGTGTGTACGGTATTAAACGTTTTGATTTTGGGATAAGTGCAGGATTAATGTATAAAAATTTGCTGTTTTTGAAAGTTTGCGGTTATAGCGACCACCGGTTTATATGACCCGAGTACTTGACCATGTAATATTTTACCATATATACCTATGTATAGTGTCTATTTACTCCGTTTAGCCAGATAAATGTATATATTTATACATTTTTTTTTTATTTTATAAACATATATTAATGTACAAGATGTACAATACTATATACAATTAACCAACTGTTAATTAAAAAAAAAAATTAAATAAATTTGCTGATATGAACAGACAAAAATAAAGGGGCAGATGTTGAATTTAAATCATGATTAAAATTTGATGTAAATAATTATTTATATTAGTTGCAAGTCGATAACTATATGGTTTATGTGCAGTTACTCCACGCGTTCTTTTAAATTAATATAATGGGAGACCTAATATATCGTTCATTTCAAAAACAGTTGTCTGTATAGTGTATTATATTTTACACCTATACGGGTAAAAAGTCTGTAGTTTACGCACATACAAATGAACGTATGCACCCTTTTTTTATATACCTAAAATATTAATCACATCTTTTACACAACGTCGTGTTCTGTCGGACCCGACGCGTGTGTGTGTGTGCATTGGTATAGGACGAAGTGGAAGCGTCAGAATCAATTGCGTCTCGATCAGCTACGCCAACAGTCGGTTGAGCCGCAATCGGAAACGTCCACCGCCGCCGCCGCCGCCGCTGAGTACGGTCAGCACCAACAGCACAGGCTGCACTCAGTGGAACCGCACCACAATCGGCAAGAGCACAGAGTGTACGTACCGTCGTCGGCGGCTTCAGCGTCGGCGGACCCGGACGTACAAGCGGCTGCAGAGACGTCGGCCGCCGCACCGTTGACGTCGTCGACAGCAGCAGCGGCCGCGGCTGCGTTCATCGGTGCGCCGTACCCTGGGGTGGCCAATGGCGCGCGATGGAACTTTCTGACCACGGCCGCGGCAATAGTGCGGAACGTGTCGTACGTGCACGGATGTCACATGTAAACAACATTATAATATTGTAAAATGACATATTATTGTAATATGATTCAGTTCGCATCGGCACGGATTGTATACAGGGTGGTCGTACGAACGATATCATAATATTATATATTATATACTAAGCGACGCTTTAAATAAATAGTACCTAATGTAATTTGTAGGGGAATAAATCTACGCGCCCAACATGCGACGTTCTAGTTTGGCAAAGATTTTTGAAATAACGTTGACATACAGGCGTACAACATACAAATCGTGGTCGTCCTTAGACCAATTAATAAGGAAAGGGGACAAAAAATTTCAACTCGATTTTTGCAAAATAATTTTGGGAAATTGGAAGTACCTTTATAAGTATGTTATAGGCATGTAGTTAAGGGTAGACAATTTTAACGGGCTAAGATAAATGCCTTTACCTTAATATTTTATGTAGGTACTGCCCTATTGGTCTTTGATATCAACAAAAAATATATTATTATGCATAAGTTAATAAATAAGTAAAATAGAAACTAACAAAATGTTTAAATAGCTAAATAAGGTATTAGATATGCCTTCCCTCTTCAAAGGCATCACTGAAATGTTAAACAATGTCAATACTGCTTTATATGGCGGAGAGCCGATTGCCGAATACCTATACATGATTTGCTCCAGATACTTCCTTCACCTATAAATTCAGTATGAATATTATTGTAGTACGAGATCGTGAATCATTAAATTTTATATAATAAAATCTATGTTATACTACATTGTACACTCAAGCTATCACAATCTAAATTACCTATTGTCCACTTATTGAATTTATGATCATAAAGATACCTATTTTGGATTTACGAATTCCACCTTATGACAAACTCACAATAGGTTCAAACAATTTTTGACTTTGACTTACGAAAAATATTTATTAAGTTCACGATTTCCATATCCACATTTTAAGTTTTTGACTTAAGAGAAACTTAAATATTTAAATCAAATATATTATCAAGACTCCTCCTCATATAACCTCCGTTTCATGGAGTATCAACCTGTCTTAATTTATGTCTTTATATACGACATGTCAACATAATTTATTTATTATTTATTTATTATTTATTCCAGTCCTTTTTCTACATTAAATGCGTATATAGTATATCTATTAATAAAGTTAAAACTATTTTTATGAAGACAACTAATAGCATTTTAAGGTAGATACCTATATTTATAATTTTAACGGGCGATTAAAAATTGTAGGTTTGTCCAAGAAGAATCCCTCCGCGTCTCCTCCCCATTTTTTTAAAAGTAATTCCCGACTAATTCAATTATAAAAATATAAACTTCAGTTATAATAGGTTAAGATAGATGGATACCTACCTATGTCTTTAAAATTAAAAATATTCCCTAAAACAATTTAAAATATTAAAATATAAATTTCAAATTATGTTTATTTCATTTACAATATTGTAAAATTTAAATAGTACCTAAGTCCTATTTCATACTAACTAGTAATAGATCAACTAGAAAAAATATACTTATTCATGAATCAAAGTTATTAATCTAGTAGCTGCAGTTTTGAAGCAATAGATGTAAATTTTAATGGTCATTGCTTATCTAGTGGCTCTAAATTAACTAGATAATACTTATTAATTTATATTTAATTGTATATTATACCTTTCTAAAAGTATTAATTATAGACACTATGTCACTATTTAGGTAAATTTGTTTATAACAAAACTAATTTGAGGTCATATATCTATACGTTTCCCTAATGTGCTTATGGTAATTGATGATGTATAATGATATGTAAACATTTTTGATCAGATTCCCCATCATGAAGTCATGCCTATCTTAACAATTTATATTTAGTATACTAACAACTTATTTGAAATTATTTCAAAACAATTGGTAAATAAAACTGTGGCATTCCTTTTAATTTACCAACCTCGCCTGTATATTCTGTCTTTATAATTTCTTTCTTGTGAAATATCATACTATGCATTAACAAGATTATTAACCAGATTTTTATTTAGCATAACATAATATCAAAGAATATAACAACACTTATGATACCTACTAGATAATACTTCCTTATATATGATTTTTTGAAAAACATTTAAATTGTACAGTTTACAAAATACTTTACTTATTATTGTCATTGAATAAAGAAATTAATTAAATATTGATATAAACCTAAATATTATTACATATAATGTAAATATTAATTTTCATAAGAATTGTGTTTTTTTTTTTAATATTTACATTATAAAATACAGCTGTTAATGTAGTATGTAATTAAAAAATTAAGAGTTTAATAAGCTATTTATAAAACAATTTTGTTTTAATTATAATCTAAGCCTCCAAACTTTAAACCATCAATAATATTCTAACATTAAATATAAATAATGAAGATAATGAAAGTAATTTAAATTTTTATTAACCATACTGTAATAAATTTAATGTAAATAATTTATCTTAATTAGAACTTTTTTAATATTTGTCCAAAGGATTCTTAAATTTTGGTTTAGCTTTGATTTCTAAAATATAATCACAAATTGTTTAGTTAATTCATTACTTTCAAATTATAGAATATTTGAATTTTCATGATATTTAGTATTGTTATACTGTATCATTGAATATTTTTATAATTTTAAGTAATTTAATGATGTATATAACTTTACTTGTATAATTAAAACATGTTAAATGTTTTTGACATGTTGCAAATTAAGTATTTATAACTAATAATTAATTCTATTTGTGATAGGAACCTATATTGTTTGTATATCATAAATGTTTATTCAGAATTTTTACTTCATGTGCAATATTTAGTAGAAGAATATAATATAGTATTTATATAAATATATTATATTACCTACACACAATTATAACTAATTATCTAATACTGTTAAAATAAATACATTTAATTTATTTTTTATTTTTTTAATGAAAATAAGAACAAATTAAATGATAAAACAAATACATCATAATGTATCATTATATATGGCAATATATAATATATATTCACAAAAATGAGCATATACCAAGGAATCTATAAATGTTATCTATTTTGACTTAAATATATTGAATAAGTTAATAAGTAGATACATAAAGTGTGCAAACAGTAAATATTAAACATTATGATTGTTTTAATGTTGAAAAAATCTTTTACACTTAGATATTTTTCAGAATTTAATACTTTAGGATAAAATTTAATATTTATTCTATATTCCAAGTGTAGTCATTTTGTAATTTAAATTAGTACAAACATCTATTTTATAACTGGAACCTGCAAGACATGTTACCTAAAACAATAAACAAAAATACAAATGTTGTTATAAAAGTTGATGATAAAACATGAATAAATTTAAAAATGTAAGTATATCTATTTAAATAAATATATATATATATATATATATATATATACATATTCTTTTTTTAAGTATACATTTAAATTTAATATTTATTTATTTTGTAATAAACGTATTATAATTTTACAAATGATTTGAATATATACCAACATTATCTCTAATAGATTCGAAAAAAAATAAATAATAATTAAATTATTTATCATGATTTATTATCTATAATAGCATAAAATTTCATTATTCCAATATATTTTTATTTATTGAAGTTTAATTTATTTTATTATGTTGTTGTTGAAATATTAACTAATAATATTCTCATTGTTTTTTTTTTTCATCAAAATATACTAAATAGCAATAGATTAAATTTATTAAATTATTTAACTTGTTCTCTCAATTGTATTTTTCTAAATCCCAACAAAATAATAGCAATTTAAAAAAAACTTACTTTAAATGGATTTTCTTGGTTAACACAACTGAAAACAGTCACTGGACTAGTTTCGATTTTACACAGAATTTCATCTGTAAATGATAACTGATAAAAATATTTTGAGCATCCTCCGGCATATAATGTTTCATCCATAAGTTTAGTAACATGTATTCCGGAATCTTCAACACAATTGTATACTGTCATGGGAGCAGCCATTGATCGATTCCATAATGATAGTTTAGTTCCACCACCACATAACTGATTAAATACAAATTAAGTTATAAGAAATAAAAGAATTAAAATACTGATATTTTACCATCCAATCATTAGTGATTGTAACAGATCCAACCCAATTTCCAAGATTAGGACGTTTAATTTCTGGATTATTGCTGGGGATGATTTTTGATGAATATTCTTTAGAACGAACATCCCAAAATAAGACAGATCCATCTTCACTAGCTGAGACGATTGTATCATCTCTAGAATTATATATTATAATTATAAATTGCATACATAGAATAAAATAATATGATAATTAAGTATTACAGTTTATCAATAGAATGAATAAAATCACTATGGCCTTCAAATTTCTGTATAACATCACCACATTCTAAATTAAATGCATAAACAGTATTGTCACCACAGCCAGCATACAAGACATTATCCTCTTTGTTCAATATTAAACAATTTACATCTATAGTTAACATTGAATCCCTAAAAATGTATAAATAATAATTAAAATCATTTAAATAGTGAGAAACAATGCTTATAGAAAATTTTTATTACTACATTCTTTAATAGTATGCACAGTTCTAGATTGTTTTGAGCATAAGCTTCAATCTTAGCAAAACTAAATATTATTTAAGAGTTTTCTTTACTTGGGTGATGGAATATTAATACTCCAACTGATACTGAGAGGTTCAATTTTTGAGTTTTCGCCAAAATTATTATCAATAATAGTTTCCCAATCCACTCCAACAATAAGACCAACACCACCAATTATCAAAAATTTTTCACCCGATTCCATGCTGTTTATTTGCATTTTACGTATCATCTCGAATTCATAAGATCGACCCCCAGCTGATAAATTCTGATCTTTGAATTCAACTCCCGACTGCAATTCATTTTTTAAACTAAAAGTTAAAAATAAAAATATTAATAAATACATGTGTTAACATTCAATTTAGAAGTATAATTTAATAACCTAGTTGTTTAACTTACTTGTAAACTGTTAATATTCCATAATTATTACCAGTAATCAAATAATTCCCACAAGGAGAAAATGTTTGAGATAAAATAGTAGTGTAATATTTACTATTGACCATGTTTTAAAATTGTAATGCTTTTATGTTGATTTATATATTTTATAAAAAAAGAAACTAAATATTATTTTAGAAACACAAAAGTATGAAACAATTAAAACGTTATAAACTTAATACATAGATAAGTCCAATAGTCCTGTCCAGTGTCCTCAATCCTGTTGCCTTTTTACTTGCAATGCTTAGTATTTGTTCTAAGTGCACTACATAGTACATGTCAACATTATCAAATCTACGTTATCACCGGTAACCGTCGTATTAGTATCAGTATATTATTATGTTATAATCACAATTTAAGATTTATATTTGGTTATAATAAACAAAATATTTAGGTAAACAATAAACATAAAGATAATTACCTACCTACTAAAAAATAATTTTTGAACATGAAACGCTTTTCTGTCTAAATTATTAATCAGTCAATTATTACAATAAGAAGTTTAATATTTTGACGTAACAATATTTTTTTTTTGTGGTTCTTACTACTTATATCTAACACCCTACCCTTTAAGTAAAAATTCTCATCTAGGCGATACTAATTATTTTAATATATATTAAATTCTAAGCAGAACGATAAATATATTAATTTTATCATGATGTGTTTTTTATTTTTTGAATGAATACGATAATTTGTTGATAAAATGATTTGATTTTCAAAAATGAGGGTGGTATTATACTTTTGTGTATTAAATTGGATCTAGTTTGTATTTTGAAGAGGTTAAACTGAAAATATCTAGTATTTATTGTTATCCTTGGAAAAAACAAACAAAAAATTAAAGATAAAAGAGAATTTTCAACAAAATTGATTTTTTTTTTTATAAAGGTACCTAGCTTGAAAACTATAGATACTTGAATTTTCTACTAAATGTTTTTATCATTATTTTCATCAAACGATACCATTTTCAATATTTTTTTTAAATACGAGAAATTTTCAAGTTTTTTTTTAATTCTATTTTTCTAAATTTCTATTAAAATTATTTACTGAGTAGAAATGCTAAAAATGCATGAAAATTTATTGCAAGATCCCACAACAGATATTCTCATATCTGTATAAATATATTAAAAATGTGTGAGTAAAAATATTTTTATACGAATTTGTAGTTAGTAATTTGATGAAATTCGTCAAAATTGCAAAAAATTATTAATTATTTTGTTGTTAAAAAATTATAAAAACATTTCTGTTTGTATCTAACTTTTGAAAATTTAATAAAAGATCCCATATAAATAGCTTGTATTTAAACTATAAAATCTACAAAAATCATAAAGAAAATTATTTTTTATAGACATTTTAAGTTTCAATTTGAACGAAATAACTTATTTAAACAATAAATAACGATATGTTAATAATTTTTTTATAATTTAAAAACATTATTCGTGGAAACTTAAACTTTCATGTATTATATATTATTATGAATTGTACCATACACAATACCAAACATTTTTTATTCAACTGTCTACAAAGTTCAAATACCTATGCATGGCGTGTATATTTTCAGGGGAATATTAAACTATAGGATTTACGTACATATATAATATATAAGCATAGATGCGTGGAACAAGAGCAGCAAAATTTTGGATAATAATATTAATGGTTTTTTAAATTTAAAAAAAAAATAGTGTAATATAAATATGAAATATAACGTATGATTATATATATTTCATGACGAGATACTGAACTAAAAATCAGAATAACGTTTAAATAATGAAGTGTATAATCTATGTCAAATTATGTCAAATGTCACGTTAATTGCACAATTAGATATAGGTACATTTATACATGTACAGTTTATCTCAGCACAACCAACAATAATTTCATTGGAAATTAAATAAATATTTATTTTATGATTTCACTTAAAACAAATAACAATGTGCATTTGAAATAAACAATACATTTATTTATAATTTTAGTGCAACTGACATACGCGTGTATGTATAAATGTATAATACCTACTATTATATATATTATATATATATATATGGCATAACTGTATAAGAGATTAATGAGATTATTGTTTAACTAACTACAATAATAGTATGATTATATTATTTTATATTATTATACGACTAGATAAAATATTACATTAATAATTAATTTATAGATACGAAGAGGGTGGTAGATAAAGAATTTAGAAACTGTATAAAAATGAAAGTAATATAAACACTTTCTTTATTTATTGATTAATAATTTAAATAGATTTAGAAAAATGGCCATTGATTGGTGGCTCATCAGCGGCATAGTTGGACATTTCTTGAGGAATTACCGCACTTTCTTCAATACCCGTACAAGGGCGACACATACATTCCAATGGAGCTTTTGTAGTCACCTATAAATTATAATTAAATATATTATATTATTGTCATACTAATTATTTTATTACTACATTAGTATACTCATCAGTTATAACTATAGCACAAAATTTGTAATTTATTATTAGTTATTAAATAGGTTTATGGTCCGTTTCAGAAAAAAACTAATTGTTATTAATATCATTGAAAATCCACAATATTACACTAATTTTTAATAGTGTTGATGTATTGATTTCATAAATCAACATTCAATATAGAAGTATTTTATTAAATTCTGTAATTACCTACTTGTTGATTGCTACAAATTGGATTAATATATTTTTTTTTTTTTTTTTTATGCGATACAAATATAAACAAATTTTAACCAATTAGATTTAAGGAATTAGTCTAAATAAAATGAGAAAGAAATTTTTTCATTTTTGTGTTAAATATTTATGAATGTAAACAGATAGAGTAATTTAAGTTTTATTTATTCACTTCGAAACTTATATGGCTGAGTATTTTTACCTGCTATATTTTGTACAAAAATATTCACCTATCTATTTTGTCATGCTTTACATAGAACTACATAATATCAGTAGGCAACGAAGACATAAACAAATTTTCCTAAATATATCAATCACCTTCCGTTAATATTGAAAGGTAAAAATAAGTGCATGTACATTAGTGTTGTACTTATTAGATTAAAATGGTTAGCAAGTATTGAACGGCCATTCATCCTTTATTTAATTGTTTTAACTTTTCTTTCTATCAACCATTAGGCCTTTCGATAAATTTATAACTTAGACCATAATTCTACCCCCTATGTCATTTACTAGATAATATATTTGTTTATTATAACTGGTAAATATATTTATAATTATAGGTAAATCTACCTTTCTAAATTTTTTCTCGCCTTGTTTGGCTTTTGGGCAAAAAAGTGATACCGAGGCTTCTCGTTCGCCGCTTTCTTGACAGCACATACAAGACCTTTCCATTTGCCATATTTTAGACCCAGAAACCTTGTTGAAAAAACAAAACACCATTGTATATTTACATACTTATTAACTATTATTATTTAGAAAAGTTTTCGTTCAGAACGCTGAATTACTTGTAAATAGCTGCTGCAGCGTCCTGTACATGCAAACGATGGTATTGGCTTAGGTACACATCCTGGGTACTGTAATACATGGATGACGGGTGTTACTTGGCAGTCGTCACTAGATCTAGCGGTCACAATCACCCCATTACCGTTATTAGCAAAGGCCATGTTGCACATAGCCAATACTATTAGATATTCTAAAATGTCATGAAAATCATTCATAAATTTTTAAGTACTGGAATAATATACAATAGCAATTAAAAAATGTATTAAAATTAAATTGTATTAAAAACTTTCTTATGAGTTATATAACATATATCATATTTATACATGTGTGTGTTTAAGCATTATTAAATTTAACTTAAGAAGTTTTAAAATTATTCATAGTTAAACTTACTGAAAAATTCCTGGCTGATGGTAGACATTACGACTCAAAGATCATACTGTGAATAATCTTGCGAGTGGCAGTCGACTTTGAAGGGCTCAGACTTCCGACATTTATGATTTATTAACGGAAATAGACCTCCCGGGGAGTAAACATGATTTTTGAATTAGATTTCTCAGTTGGCTGTAAGCTTCAGAAAAACATATACACGTAGAATCATTTAAATCTAGACAGTTTTCTGGCGTCAAAAATTGAAAAAGTTTTATAAAGTACTATAAATAGACGAAAATTAATATTAATATCTAGAAGTTTTTTTTAAGGGTAAATTATTTGGAAAATAGCTATAATTTAAATGTTGATAAATTATATAGCTTTGCATTATTTTCAATATTGTACAAATATAAAAAAAAATGTGTAGGTATAAACAATAATTATTAAACAAATTGACGTATAACTTATTAACTGATATTAAAAATAAATATATTTATTAACTAATATTGGATTATAGATAGGATTGGCTTTTAATTTTAAATATAATATGTTTTACACATTACGCATAAATAACTTACAACAAATGTGTTAAATCTAGAAAAATATAATAAAATATTTAGGTGAACCTATTTAGGTAAAAAAATTTATACATATATAATATGCCATGAATAATCTAAATAGTTTTAGGAGTCTATACCAATTATTTAGATCAAGTGTTAATACTAATTTAAGTTTATAATTAGATTCATTATATTCAATTTAATATCTATTATAAATTAAAATAAATAAACACATAATATATTTAAATAAAATGATATGTTGTTCATATTTTCATAACCATACTTAAACTTGTGTGAATATTTTTTTTGGTAATAAATACCAAAATGCAAATAGTATATACTTGATTTTATATAATGTGTATTTTGCATTTTGCATTTTTTTTTTTTTTTTGTTATTTAAGCACTATACAGTCTACATTATATAAAATATTATTTTATTTATTAATACTGTACGCTAATTACTACAAGTTTAATCAATTATAAATAACAATGCAAAAGTACATTTTTCAATAATTATTGGTCTTTATATTTTATATTTATATGCATATACTTAAAATAAAAATCTAGAAACTCACTTTATATTTTTCTGTACTGTAGGCTATTGAGTTAAGTATACTTCGTCATTGAGTTAGTTAATAGTTGTGTTAAATGTGTGTTCTATAATTCATTGTAATAGCCAATAGGTATGATTCTAAGCGGCGCCTATATTTTTAAGAATCTTTTGAAATAGTAAAAATACTTCGATTTTTAATTAAAGAAGAAGTTGATTATGGTAGAAATTTGAATCTAGTAGGTACTAAATATTTTAATAGGTCAAAAGTAAAAAATTTCCTAGCTAAATGTAAATTTGCAAATAATTTATAATATAATAATATAAAAAATTATGATATTATTTGTAAAGATTTAAAAATTTTACATAGGTAGGTGTATAAAATTGATTAAATATTTAATAAATATATATATAATGCATTTGACTATACGTAATGACATTTTAATTTTAGATATTATTTATTTATATTACGTATATCTTATTCACACTGTTTTACTACAAGAAGATATTGACTCAAAAGCTAACAGGAATGGTAAAATATTATACAATAAATTATATTTATTATTATTATAATTAAATATTAATAAAATAATAAATGCAATGTTTCAAATAAAACTGAATCAATCTACTGTAATACTAATAGTAAAATAAATTACTTATTTCTTTAACAGAAATATTAAAAACATATCATGATATGTATTTGGTAATATAGACTGACAGACGTCTCCGCATAAAATCATTTTTCGTGTACAATGAATATTGAATAATGATACATTGATACATCATTGAATTCAAATTTAACACTTCAATTATAGTGACTCACTCGACAACAAAACGGTACTCGCTTTTTTTAACTTTTTTTGTTATTTAAATATTTAATTACGTAGAAATTTAAACATAACTATCTAAACTATCTATGTATTTTTGATATATTTTGTTATAATAGGTAACTTATAATATCTTATAAGTAATTTTGTACGAAATTTTCAAGTTATTTTTTACCCACAGACAAAATTGTTATCACATCTAAAACGAAAATAAACTAAGAAAATATAATATTTTAAATATATCCATATTGAATTTAGAACAAAAAGCTAAAATATTTTAATTTTAAATTCCTTAATGTTTAGTAAATACTTATATCTTATATAAATATTTTATGGAAATTTTAATCAGCTACAGATTTTTCTTAAATAAAAACAAAAATCAATATTTTTTAAAAACTGATTTTTTGTAAATATTCCCATTATTCTATTATTTATTTTTTTAATCTCGATCACTATTAATTTTACTCCACAAAAGTACCTATACAATTTGTTACCAAAAACTATTCCTCTAATTTGAATATTGAGGCATTTTTTTCTAAAATTAAAAGTGTTTTGAAACATAAAAATTAAAAAATTAAAATTATTGTATTGTACAACTTATACACATACATATTATTACATTTATCAATCCACTTAAAATCTAAAAATCATAATTATTTTAAGAAACATCAGACCTATATCGAATAAGGCTAGTAATAATACGATTTATAATAAGATTAATTACAAAAGTTTTTATACAGATTAAACTTTTCCTTATTTTAATGCCTTAGACTTAGAGTATATTATTATTTATTATAATAAGTTTATTACTAATTACTATTATAGTTAAACATTTCAATCATTATTTATTTTTATACATGTTTTATAGTGAATAAAATTCAAATATCATAAAATTAGTTTATAATTATCTCTATTACATAGGTAGGTAATTGGTTAGGTTAGGTTCCATGTTCATAGGAGAAGAACTAATTATTTTATTACATTAAGTATATTAACAGTTATTATACTAATTTACATTTTATTTATTTGGTACTTAAAATACTTTTTATTTATAATTCAAAGAATAATTAACAATATTTTTTTACTCCGTTAATAAATTACATTTACTTTTATAAATAAAATCTGTTAGTGCTATATTTTGTTTCGACAACACAAAAAAATTTATATTACAAGATCCCCTGTGGATAAGTAAACCACCCTTTCGGTCCAATAACACTTATGTTTGTTTAAAGTGAAAGCTTTAATATACATTCTGAAAGTCATAAACAGTTTTGTCGTGAACGTTAACAGTCACTGTTAACTCACTGATCTGGATTACTTCAATAAACTTTATTGGCAGCTATATTGTGTAAGTATCTATTAAATTAAACTGTGTAGAACACATTTTGTCATTTATCACATTTTAATTTTTAACTAAATTACTTATTAGCAATTATGTACACGACTCAATTGTTTATCATCTCTATTGCGATTTTTCTCGTACATAATAACGTACTCGCAGAAGATAACCCAGAAGAATGTGAGACTTTGCCTTCTGAATTGCATATCATTAAAGGTACAATTTAATATTTTATTTGAAACTAATCGAACACAATCTATAGCAGTAAGTTGTATAATAACAATTTAATGTTGATTATTACGTTTAGAGGAATTTGACGAGCTTGGACGGCTTCAAAGGACATGTAATGGTGACATAGCAGTGAACAAGTGTGAAGGAGCGTGTAATTCACAAGTACAACCTAGTGTCATTACTCCTAGTGGATTCCTAAAAGTTAATATAACTTATAAATTTAATAAAAAATAAATTTTTATTCTTTTAATTTTGACTTTAAATGGGGCAATTATCTATAGATTTTACAATTATGTTGTGTATGTGTGTGTTTTGTCACCTTTAGTACAAAAAGAATGTTTTGATTTTCGACTTTAAGTGTGGGTTTAGGTAGGTAACAAATTGGATATATTTAATACTTTGTGGAGTCAAAATTAAACAAAAAAAAAAATAAAAATACTAACCTACTTTTTAAAACAATTGAGAAAAATTAAAAAAATTAAATACAAATTTCGAAAAAAAATAGATATTTAAACAAAAATAACAATTTTAGTTAAATTTAAAATTAAAAAATTTAATTTTTGGAAACTTAAAACTTTTTTATTGGTATACTATTAATTTATTACCTATATTTTATATATTTAAAAGCGTTTTAAATTGCAATATTTTTGGTAAAATTAATTCATCTTACTATTTTAGGTAGGTACTAATACGTAGCTGAATAAATTACTTTATTAGCAATATAAATATATCAAAAAATAATCTAAGTAATCTTTCAATTCTCAAATTATTGCTCAAAATCGTTTTTCATATGCAATGATTTCTTATTAAATTCAAATTTAACACTTACTAAATTACAAGGAAAACTCAGTAACGGTTAATTACTTTCCCTCTTTTTAAAGATAGATATCTCAAAATATCTAAAATACATTTGTGATGCTTATATTGAAAATTCTTATTAGTTGTCATATTTATTATGTTTATATTACATATTTACATAAAATATTATCATTATCAAATAAAAACGATCAAAACACAAAATAGACCAATCTATATAATACGATTTAGCTGCACTATTTAATCAAACGTAAATTAGATTTATAATAATAAATCATATCTACTCTTCTGTCTGTTTCTAAATTTTTTAATTTCGCCAAAAATCTATTTAGGTAAATTGCTTATAAATAGTTAATACAATAGAAAATACATATATTATTTCAATAAAATTTTTAGCAAATTAATTAAATTCTTATTGTCTACAATTATTAATTGTTGTATTTATAATATTATATTATACGACATCGTATTTTCAGGAATGTTATTGTTGTCGTGAAACATTTTTGAGGGAGAGGATTATTGCTCTTACACATTGTTATGATCCTGATGGCGTAAGATTGACGAGTGAAAAATTGGCCACGTTGGAAGTTAAACTAAAAGAACCAGCGGATTGCAAATGTTTTAAATGTGGAGATTTTACCGGATAAATTGATGTTTTAAAATTCATATAATATGTAGCAACTTTTTCACCGTATTGTTTTACTTGTGTTGTAATCATTATTTATTAATAAATTATTAAATATATAGGTAGTTTTAAAAATTAAGCCTATAAGCGTTTTCATGTAGGTATCTGCATAATATAATATTATACTGTTTAATGTTTATGAATTACTCGTTTTATACTTTTTTTTTTTAATTTTAATGTGACAGCATATTAAATAAACATTTTTAATAATATCATAATGCTACATGAAAATGTAAAATTTACTTACTATCTATTTGAAATTCCTCGATAATTTACGAAATATGATACTCGCCACTATTATAAGGTGAGTATAGGTATATGTATATATTAGGTACCTACTACTTAGATAAGTAACCGTGTGGCACATAGCTGCCGTATTGCTGCAATCATAATTTTAATTATGTTGCGTACAATAATTGATCAACCATTGAGCTACTCAGTCATTCAATTAGAATTTATATAATTAATTGATTAATGTATATTAATTACCTACCTATTAATATCCTTAAAGCAGGTTTAATAATTTAATATTCCTTAATCTATAAACATTTTCTTACTAGTAAAACGATTACAATTATAAAACCCAACATCGCAGGATAAGATTGAACTTAAAGTTTAAAGCCACAATATTACAATAAATAAATTGTTTGGTAATTGTAATTTTTTAAATATATGGAACCCGGTTGAAAATCATGAAAAGTTAATGTACCTACCTCTACGACTTTACACTCTAGATTATACGGCTACCCAAATTATAAATCTAAAATCTAAATAAAGTATAATAAATTGGTTATCGGTTATAATAATCTGCAAAATCTTTTGATGTGCTTTTTCTACTTCAGATTATTGAAATAAATATTTTTCAGAACATAATATTGATAATGATCAATGTTCATAATAACTTTGTATAGGTGAGCATTATTACCAAACGGTAATAATGCTCACCTACTAATTACTATTAGTGGCATTAATCATTAGTCCATTAGTTATTACTTATAAAATATTAATTTTAAACCTTGAAAATTTAAATGTAGGTAGGTATTTGTTATTTACTAATTAAAATATAAGAGTTATCATCTATTGAATGTTTTTAAAGGAATTAGTGATAGCTACCAAGTACCTCCTCCTAATAACAAAATATTGACTATATACATAGACATATAGAATAATATATAAAAATATAAATTATAATATTATGTATTCCATAGACTAATACACTAATAGCATTATTATTACGACTATATAAATACTATATGACTAATTTAAATTTAAATATAAATTTGTTTTCAATAATTCATTTATTTCTTATCATTTAACTGCTATCAATTTAGCAGTATAATTTTTATCAATTGCTCACGTTTGAATTTCTTATTAAAAAATAAAAATTAGCTTATTGTTATTGTCAGCACAAGAAATACTTAGGTTCTAATTTATTCATAAAAATTGTTTCAAATTTTATGAGTTTTTTTCTTACAAAAATCCTGTCTTCTAACAGTATGATTATTTAAGCTCAAACGTTCTTAAACAATGATTAGTGTATTAGAAGATGACTAACTTATTGAAAAAACTTTGTTATTGACAATTATTTTCTTTGGTAAACCTTTGTTTTTACTTTTTTAACAATGTCAATCATTGATAAGCTTGCAAAAGCTCTAGACGGTCTCAAGTCGAATGATTTGATGGGACGGTAAGTATCAAATATTGAATTTTAATATTCATAGAAATATAAATAATTTATTTTGAAGGTCTGGAGAAAAAGAAAAATATTGTCGAGTTACTGCCGATTTAATTTGTGCACCAATTGTAATGAATTTTTCATCATTCCCTGATCTTTTACATAAGTCAATGGACAGTTTGTTTAAAATGTGTGATCATTCTGAAGCTAATATAAGAATGGTAGCTGAAGAAAATTTAAACAGAGTCGTTCGTGTGTGTATATAATTTTACCTATATTATATTATAATCTATATTTGTATGTATTATAATTTTTATTATTTATTATTAATCTACATAATTTTAGTGCATGATTGATTATCGTAAAGTTGAAATATTTGTTGAATTATTAAAAGAAATAAAGAAAAATGATACAGTTCGTCGATTAAGAGCTGCTTTATCCAGATTTGGAAATATATGTCATTTAATCAGGTAGTTTTAAAACCTATATATGATATGTAACAACTGGCTCAGTTATTGCAGTTGTTGTGAATCTATAAATAAAATAATTATTACATCTGTTTCAGTCCATCTAGTCGTAAAAAATTTGTTATGTTCTTAATACCTTGCATAAAAAAAATAGCTATGAGAACAGAAGACCCTGTAGCTGAAATATTGGCCCAAACTTTTCCTAAAATCATGCAAAGCTTAGGGCATATTATGTCTGATAGTAATATAAAAGTAAGTTATAAAAAATAATATTGTTTAAAAACAATATTACCATTAATTATTAACAACCATTATTAACATTGTTTTACAGATGTTATTAGAAGCATTTGTTAACAATCTTGTTACAGATTCTTCTATCATAAGAAGGTCTAGTGTTATTTGTATAGAGTCATTATGTCTTTCTAGTAGAAAACCAATGGTTTTTATGAAACACATGCTACTCATTAATACTGTTCTAATACATGGTAAATACTAAATCAATATTTATTGTTTTTATTAAATAATCATTTATGATATTATAATTTTTAAAGATATTAACAAATCAATGGGGTCAGAACGTGCGTGGGCAGAGAATTGTGTGATTGTTGGGATATTAAATAGTGTTAAAAATACAATTCTTTATCCTGATCAAATTTGTGACAACTCTTATGAATTGAAATTAGAATCAAAAATTCTTCATAAAATATATTTACAGGTATTAAATAAATTATTTTATTAGCTGGTTTTAAGCATGTGAAATCACTAATAAAAAAACTAAATAATATTTTTTTTTTAAATTATAATTATAACTATGATATTAATATTTTTATATTATTTTATAGATATTTCGATTTTGTTGTTTTACAATATTGCATCCAGACTCTAATATAATAATGTGTGCATTAGATACATTAACTCAAATGTTTTTATCTTGTCCAAGAGATGCATTGCAATTGCTTAAAAAAAAAAAAATGTTAAATCAATCAAAGCTTTATGAAACTGAAATTGGTTAGTTTAGTTAAATCATTATAATTATTTTGTATTATATACAATGTAATCATCAAATATTATACTTTTATTTTAGTAAAAATGCAGACTACAGTAAATTCTATAAAAATACCTAAAACATTAGCTCAAAGTTTACAAAAATCATTTCACTATAGTTCATCTGAAAGTCTAGAAACTTCATTCGTTCAACTTTCTTTACCAAGATTTGAAGATGAACCAAGATCAATTTCACAATCTATGGACTCAACCAGACCTTCATTATCATCAGCTAATTCTATGACAAATTTGTACTCGGAATTTGGCGATGATAGTTTGAGTGAAGTTGATTCAATTGTGGATAATGTATTTTTTTCTGAATATGAAAATACTCCTGAATTTGATATTCAAAGTATAACTTCTGAACATAGTTGTCATTCAGCTTCTGAATCAGTTTTACAACTAGTAAGTTATGTTAATTTAAAAGATCTTAAATTTAATCAAAAATTAAAATGTATACATTTAATCAAAAATTAAAACCTTTGGATTATAGGAATTAGAATTTTTAAACCATTTATTTGAGGATGTTCCTTTAAATGTGCTTTGTGTCAAAATAATTACACTTTTCTTGGCACCAGAATCCAGTAAAACAATTAGAACTGGTATAAAATCATCAGCACTTGGATGTCTAACAGAAATGTTAAAAATTGATCCAAATTTAGCTTTCATCAACTACAACTTGTCGGGTAAATAATTATAATTTTTCAAGGATAAATTTCTATATACTTACCATTATTATACATTTTAGATACGACAAAAACAGTTCTAGATGTTTCTATTAGCTATACCAATCATGAAGATCATCTTTTAAGGGGCATGGCTATCAAATTAGTTGGCTCATTTATTGAAGTGATTCTTAGAAATAATTTTGGTGCATTTAAAGTACAAAACAATGAAGTTGGCTCATCAAATATAGAAATTGCAGATCTAATCAATATCATTACTCAAGTATTTTTATATATTGTTTCATAGAACTCTAGTAGATCTAAACACAATTTATTTTTAGGGATTAAAAGATGATTCTTATGTATGTGTATGTCATTCACTCTCAGCTGTATCAGTATGTTTAATGCCTCTTTTAAATAGTAATGTGTCGAATAGTGCTATACCTATATTTGAAACAATATTGGCAGGTTTAAGTTCTTATTGGCTTGTTAAGGTAATTATTATTTTTCAAAATATTTAATTTTTACAGTTATATTTTATAGAGTTAATCACATTGTTTTACTATTACCTTAATAATGAAATAGACAAAACATATTGGTGCTATATAAATTCAAGCTTTACTTTTCTAAATTGTATTTATTTTTATAGGTTAAATTATTAGAAATTATAGAAAATCTCTCTTTTATGACAGTTTATTTTGCAACTAATAGTTCAATATACCAAGATAGAGTTTTGAATCGTATAGTCTTTAAATATCTTTATGATAACGAATATAGTGTAAGACGTGCAGCATCCAAATGTTTATTAAGGTAAAACCTAAACTGTATAGTTTAATTTGTATCAATGAATATTATTTTTATTTATATTTGATTATAACTTATACATTTCTTTTTAATTTGTACTAGTCTTGTTCATAACTGTTACTACAAAATTGATTACATGCAACAAGATGTCATTACTTCATGGGTTTGTTCAAATACAAGTCTATATTGTACTAATATGCTTCAGCTCCAAAATTGTTTGTAAAATGTTTATGCTATGATTATGATATTGATTTTAATATTTTTTAATGTATTTAATTTGATTTTCAGACAAATTCCATAATATATACATTGAAGCTTCTTTATCCCGTGTAATCAACCGTTTGACTAGTGATCTTATTAAAAATCAATCAGCTGTTGTAGTTGTAAGTTTTTTAAATATAATTGTATTTTGAAATAATGACCATTAAATATTATGTTTAGGCTGGATGTATTGAAGCACTAACAACT